CTAGAAGTATCGTTATTCATGTGCAGCGATTGGAATTCAATCCCGAATACATTCAACTGCTACAAACTAAAACTGTATCCAGGAAAAGTTCCATTTATAAACTGAATCCTTATTTAGATTCCCATGGGATTATTTGCGTTGGAGGTCGTTTGAAGAACTCAGGTTTGCCTTCTGACATGAAACATCCAATGATAATACCTCACAAGGGACGCTTCACTCAACTTTTAATTGCACAAGCTCATACTATCACGCTACATGGAGGAGCCCGGTTGACTTTGACATACATCAGGCAACGGTACTGGATCATCGGTGGGAACCGTGCTGTGAAGGCTGAACTGATAAAATGCATACGTTGCCATCGATTCAAAAGGACTGACAATCATCAGATAATGGGTAATCTTCCTCAGTATAGAATAACACCCTGTCGACCGTTTACACATACCGGAGTTGACTTTTCCGGGCATGTTGACATCAAGCTTAACAAGGGCAGGGGAGTCAAAACGTCAAAGGGCTATATCGCAATCTTTATCTGTATGGCTACGAAAGCTGTGCATATTGAACTCGTCTCTGACCTTAGTACGGAAACATTTATAGCCGCTTTTCAAAGATTTTGTGCAAGACGGGGAACGCCCAAGCACATGTACTCAGATTGCGGCACTAATTTCGTTGGCGCTGCAAGAGTACTTCGACAAGAATTTGAAATATTTAAGCGACAGCTATTATCATCAGACTTGTTGAACACACTAGCTGACCTAGAAATTGAATGGCACTTTAACGCACCAGGTTGGCCCAGTGCTGGTGGACTATGGGAGGCGGCGGTTAAATCAATGAAATACCATCTGCGTCGGGTATTAGGAGAGCAAAAATTGACCTATGAGGAGTTCACAACACTCTTAACTAAAATAGAGGCGTGTCTGAATTCACGACCATTGTGCCCTCTTACCGAAGACCCGGAAGAGTTTTATAATTGCTTAACTCCAGGTCATTTTCTCACAGGAACCCCAACATTGTCACTCCCGCTATCCAACTGTCCGGAAGTTAACAATGTTGATTTACGTCGTAGATGGCAGTTGCTCGAGCAAATGTTTAACCAGTACTGGAAGAATTGGTCCAATGAATATCTTACTACGTTACAAAGTCGTAGCAAATGGAATAAGCCTACAACTAACATCAAACAAGGTGACATTGTACTGGTGAAAGATAACAACCTTCCACCGGCCAAGTGGGCTTTGGGACGAGTGATGGAGACACATCCTGGAGCTGACGGTTATGTTCGCGTCACAACCATAAAAACTAAATTGGGAATTATCAAACGCCCAGTAGTAAAACTATCACCGTTACCATTAAATTCAGACGCTGAAACTACGGGTGAGCAAAATAGCGCACCTCAAACGACGTCAGCTAAGAAACATCGAACAAAATCCAATAAATGTCTCTCAACATTTTTAATTACAATATTATCAATGTTTACATTTATGTCGGTATCACATTGCGCTATTGACGGCACGCGCCAAGCGCCGGGAGCTCAAATTACAAGATTGGAACATGAGCGGCCCGTATACTATGATGAAATTGGCAGAATGCAATTAATACATGACGAATGGATTTTAGTTATGTACTATAATTTAACTAATTATTGGGAAGGAACTAACCGCATTGAAACTTATTTTAACCATTTGAAAAATGTCTGCGACCAAACGAAACTACAACTGTGTAAAACAACTATAGAACAACTGGAACACGAAATTCAACTTCTCCGCTATTACAACTATGTTTTAATAAATCCACACAAACACCTCAGCATCAGAAAGAAACGAGGATTAATCGATGGTGTGGGTTATTTAGCTAATAGCTTATTTGGGATACTCGATCAGCACTTTGCCGAGAAATATCAACACGATATTCAGTCTCTGCAGAACAATGAAGACTACCTGTTTGAATTAATAAAAAATCAGACAAGTATTGTAGAACTAGAAAACGATGTCCTGAAGAAAAGCGAAGACAACATACAGCGTCAGTTCAAGCTAATTGATAAGTTCGTCAACCAAACTAATAAGAATTTGGCCTCTATTGAGTCTGAGATGGAGATACTTTCAGCAACTTCTTACATAAACTCTGCGTCTTTTACAACATTTCTTCTAATCAACAACATGAGAACCTTCCAAGAAATGTTATTTAACACGCTGACGAACATATACCAAGGCCATCTAGATGTGCATTTAATAACTCCGGTACACTTAATCGAACAGTTAAATGAAATATCGGGAAGTCTTCCAAAAACTGTGTCATTGCCAGTCGACAATTATAAGGAGCACATAAAGGATCTTTATAAAATAATAAATGTGAAGGCTCGAGTAACAGAAGTATACTTCCTCTTCGAGGCTCACATACCACTTATCGCTAACGATGACTTCATTATCTACAAACCCATACCTCTGCCTATTAGAATGAACGAATCTACTGGACATGTGCAGATATCATCCGATTATGTCGCTATAAATCTCAAAACGAATACATATATCTCATTGACAAAGGAAGACTTCAAGGAATGCCTGCAACAAAAATCAAATATTTACCTTTGCAAGAAAAACCTGCCGGCTTTCAATTTGCATAGCAACCGTGCACCATGCGAGGCTAAACTGCTGTCGCATCACAACACGGCGCCGTGCGATATGGAACGAACAGTTTGCAAGGACGCGTGGATCCAATTACACTCTTCAAACAGCTGGTTAGCGACTTGCTGCGACATATGCACATTACGTACTATTTGTAACAACGACGTGACGACGTACACTATGACGTCATCGAGCATAGTCTCTATAACTCAAGGATGTGTAATGCAGTCCAAAGATTTGACAATTTACACTCCGCACCAGTATAACAGTCACTTGAAGATGGACTACGAGTTATCTGTTCCTACTTTGGACAGCTCTATAAATAAGATCGTTAATCTAACGTACACTTATGTTCCTAATCAATTCCAAGACACTGCAGAAAGGGTAGAAATGAAGAATAGAGGATAAGGTTAAAACACAACAAGATAATGAGAATCGACAACTCACCACGATCTCCAGCCACGATGTTCATCAATATGCTATCAGCTACCTTATGTTAGCATCTGCCGCAATTGCTTTGCTTGTGGTGTTTGGAAGGAAGCGTTGTCGCAGGATTTCAACTAAACAACCAAGCGCATCGAATAACGAAGAACATCAAGACATTGAACTACAAATTATCCATAGACCCAGTGACAACCAGCTCAATGAATCAGCCACAACAGCATCACCGAGCGAGGAGTACCCGGAGCAGCATCAACCTGGGAAATCTCGCCGAAGTAGCAGAACCGGAACAAGAAACGTCGCATTTAATTTTGACTAATGAATAATTTGCTTTGTAATGGCTTTTCCTTTTCTCTATCTTTTATATTAACTAGTTTTTCTTTTGGGGTGGCAAGATGTACAGTCTTAAACTGTACACGCTGCCAAAACGAATACATATATCTCATTGACAAAGGAAGACTTCAAGGAATGCCTGCAACAAAAATCAAATATTTACCTTTGCAAGAAAAACCTGCCGGCTTTCAATTTGCATAGCAACCGTGCACCATGCGAGGCTAAACTGCTGTCGCATCACAACACGGCGCCGTGCGATATGGAACGAACAGTTTGCAAGGACGCGTGGATCCAATTACACTCTTCAAACAGCTGGTTAGCGACTTGCTGCGACATATGCACATTACGTACTATTTGTAACAACGACGTGACGACGTACACTATGACGTCATCGAGCATAGTCTCTATAACTCAAGGATGTGTAATGCAGTCCAAAGATTTGACAATTTACACTCCGCACCAGTATAACAGTCACTTGAAGATGGACTACGAGTTATCTGTTCCTACTTTGGACAGCTCTATAAATAAGATCGTTAATCTAACGTACACTTATGTTCCTAATCAATTCCAAGACACTGCAGAAAGGGTAGAAATGAAGAATATAGAGGATAAGGTTAAAACACAACAAGATAATGAGAATCGACAACTCACCACGATCTCCAGCCACGATGTTCATCAATATGCTATCAGCTACCTTATGTTAGCATCTGCCGCAATTGCTTTGCTTGTGGTGTTTGGAAGGAAGCGTTGTCGCAGGATTTCAACAACAAACAACCAAGCGCATCGAATAACGAAGAACATCAAGACATTGAACTACAAATTATCCATAGACCCAGTGACAACCAGCTCAATGAATCAGCCACAACAGCATCACCGAGCGAGGAGTACCCGGAGCAGCATCAACCTGGGAAATCTCGCCGAAGTAGCAGAACCGGAACAAGAAACGTCGCATTTAATTTTGACTAATGAATAATTTGCTTTGTAATGGCTTTTCCTTTTCTCTATCTTTTATATTAACTAGTTTTTCTTTTGGGGTGGCAAGATGTACAGTCTTAAACTGTACACGCTGTATATGGGTAGTGCTGATGCGGCAACTATGTCGCGTCGCGCGTTCGTAATTTAAGTATAAATAGTCATCGATTAAGTAAACTCTGTGTGTGCTAATAAACCAACGATAGAGAAAGGAATCGCCAACCTTCAACTTGTATAACTTAACTAATAAACGTATCATAAGTGATTCTTTCTCTTTGCACTCATCAACTCAACTGACTTAACTTCAAGAAGCAAACATCTTTACCAGCGAACCTAAGCAAGGTGTACTTAACCGTACAATAGTTATTATAAAAACTGTTGGAACCTTACCGATCACCTGGTTCAATATAAACGTTGACTTCAGGGAAACTATGTATATTAGCTCGTTGATATAAATACATAAATAAATAGGCTTACTACATAGTGAATATTACGACTGCCAGGCCATAGGAGACAAGCCTAATGTGGAGCAACTTTAAAAGAAATATTTAGTACTGCAGCTAGGATTGCAGAACCGGGGATTAACTTCTTAAAGTTCGGTATATTATGTATTAACGATAGAAGTAGTGGTACACGTACAGCGTGGTGAGGTGCGGCAGATGATCGAGCGCGCGCGCATGCAGGCGCGGCAGCGGGTTGGCGCGCAGGTCCAGCCGCGCCAGGCGCCGGCACGCCTGCAGCACGCCCGGCGCCACCTCCTCCACGCGGTTGCTGGCCAGCGACCTGCACACGCGCCGCGTCACTACTCCGCACACTCTGCCTACATTACCTACACCACGCCAGCACTCACAGGTCTTCCAGCAGCGGCAGAAGACGCAGCGCCGCCGGCACCTCCGACAGCAAGTTCTCCTCCAGCCGCCTGCACACACACCGACCGAACAATACATTTATATTGTTACATGACAACTTACCTAGGTATAAAGCATGGCCCTACCTCCTTCAGTTTCGTCCACTACTGTATACAGGCCTCCGTCAACAAGTGACCGGTCAGTCGGTCCTTAGTACTTAGCATCTACCTTAGGAGCGACTTGCAACCAGCGCGCAGTCTGTCCACCTGCTGCTCTTGCGCTGCGCTGGGTACCCGAGGCGCGTGGCCTCCATACTATAGGATGTACTACTACTATATGTTTCTATGGGCCGCGTGACACACGTGGCTGACGAGTGACGTGAGGCATAGACTGTAGTCCCTTCCCTGGCCTTCCTTGACATTAATGAACAGGTTTTGGAACAGAAGTCACTTGTTCTACATATATTCATATATATGTATATATATGTGTATATCATGTATGTACCTTGTACAAGTCCTTGAGTCCTAGTTTTTACTATTCCATACTTGGGTGTAATTCTTTCTTATTTCGTCGTTTAATTTTCTCACTAGTATCACGTACCCAGCTCGTGTGTGCCTGTATGGGCACTTGAGCAGTATGAACTACGTATGGCCGTAGACGCGGCCCGTACACATACTCACAGCACTCGGAGCCCCGGCGTGTTGGTGAAGGCGTGCTCCTCAATGTACGCGATGCGGTTGCGCTTCAGCACCCTGCGTACAAACAGAACGAGTCAACGAGCTGGTTGTTGCATCAGTTCATCAGTCGCATGCTCTACGCAGACTTACTGATATCGACCGATCGGAATAAAGTTGATAACTTTTTTTACCTAATAAGTATCTATTATACCTACATATTTATGGACTTATGAAAAAGTAAAAAAAATGGTTTTCATATTTTAACAGTACAACGTATTGAATGTTTCCCGCAAATTAACTATTACAATTGTATCAGGTCAATAGGTTCCCTGACTGGGAGTGGTTCAGGCTCCAGGCACTTCATAATAGGTTCTCTTTGTACAGTCTGCTATTAAGGCGTGCAGAACAGAGAGCTAGTGCAAGACAAAAGCAACTCCTACTGTTATGTAGGTAGACACATACATACGATTTGTACGAGGTAGTCTGCTAGACGAAAACATTTATCGGAATTCCTTTTTGTTTGCTTACGAATCTGTTCGTAAGTAAATAACAGAGAAGTGGTCCAACACACGCGTGTACGTGCACACACATTATCGTGGAGCACTCAACATTCTTATGTTCCTAGCAGTAGCAACAGATCGATGCGGGCAGTCGGGAGTGCCTGAGTGGCGTGGGTTCGAGTCGTTGTGCAAACAAGACGCGCCACCACCCGCGGCCTCCAACTGTACGCTACTACTAGTACTGCTACTACTGCTACGAGGCATGCTGGTGGTCGCGTGGTAGCCAAGCTAGCAGGACCTATACAATGATACATATTTATTGTTGTTATACATCATGTGCCCGGGGTCACGGTAGGGGCACGGGCTAACGAGACGAGCGGTCACTGACACCGCGACAGATGGCAGCACTCGCGCGCTGAGAAGGGTTCGCCACAGTTCGCCACCTCACCCGAGACAACAGACGATGTACCCTTCACATCATCTGTCGGAGTGAAACAGATTTTTCAAAACTTACTATAAGTACATCTGACATATGATTTTGGATTGGTAAGACGGTATGTACTACGTATGTATTTGTAGGTACTGGGTGGCGCCACTAATATTGTACGAAGGGGATAGGGGTTGAGTGACGATACTCTATATCCGGCACGTCTACATGTGTCGCTGTTTGTACGCTAATTCTTTATAGCACGGTTAGTACAGACAGAGCCTGGGTCACCAACTACTGTGCAACGCGTCGCGTACTCGCGTCGTGGGTTCTGTCTCCGTTTCGGGCAAAAAGAATGGAAATTAATGAATTTTTCTGATTAAAATGTCAATTTTTCCGTCGTTCGTTCTGCGCCTGACCTGTCTTCGGTCGTGTCGATCGAATGTACGAAAAACGAGCGAAATAGTTCTGGTAGTTAAGCCAAAAGTGTATTTTTGTCATTCAGCTAATTTGAACATTCTTTATAAATATGGCATAGCGAGTGGGACAGCCGCGCCGCGCGTCCGTTCCTAGGCAACGTGCAACATTTAACACTCGATTGATTTTTTATGAAATATTTTGTTGAATTGAATGCTCCTTGGACCGTGGACGAGTACCTACCTACTACTTGCAGTTTCATTTATAACTCATATCATCATATGAGTGTACTCCATACTGTAAGTATAAATACTCAATTTCAATTTAAAATGTAGGTAATGTCTTGGCGTAGGTATATTAGGTATTTAGGTACCTAATGACTATAGGTAGAATATTTTTTGATAGGATTTCAAAAATAAACAAAATTGTGCTATTCTCTTCTGCCTTGTGTTCCCAGTAACAAAGGATTTCGCGAGACGATCTCCGGCCACCGTAAGCACGAGCCTGCGAACGGCGAGCACGAGTAGCTCGCCGCCCGGGCAGAACCAAACCCGAGTGTGCGCGCCTCATACACTCATCAGACCACCACGGAAGGGGGGCCCAATACGGCTGTTGCCGGGGCGCCGGCTGGAAAAGCAGAAGTAGAATCGGGGTGGAAATATAAGAAATTCGGACAGAAGAGAGAGACTATACAACAGTACAGTGTACTTTTATCATCTCGCGGACCATGGCACCAGGTTGGGAACAGCTGCGTTAAAGAGTATCTGCAAAGTGACACGTTACATGGATGATAGCAAGCGTTGAAGCCCCAACAGAAAGCCGCTTTGAAATAAATATTTCACTGTAGATATTAAGTATTGCTTAAATCGAGTAGTCGACTAGTTGCGGGTGGACGCGTGGAGGGCGGCGGGGTGCGGTGGGTGCGGGCGTGCGGGGGTGCGGTCGTTGACCCGCGCCGCGCGCCGTGCTGCCTGCTCGCCTGCTCCGAGCGAAGCACATCGGCGAGGAACAACGACTGAACTTCTGTTATGACCATACTGACACACGCCCTGGATGTTAACATATACCTAAACAATGTTGTAAGCTCAAGAATCGGTAATATAAACAATATTAAATACCCAGCCAGACGTAAGTGAGTGGTGTGGTGGCCAGACGCCCACTTGTCATGCATGGGGGTGCGGGTTTGCAACCCACCAACGGCTAAGTACAAAAGTGACTTTTTCCGAGTTATATGTATGTACTTACTTTCTAAGGTTATTTAGACACCACTGACAAACGGCGAAGGAAAACATGGTGATGAAACATGGGCTTATAATTTCTAATTATAAGTTTAAAATCGCCAACCCGCATTGAACAAACATGGAGATTAATGCTCAAACCTTCTCCGTGTGCCTTTAGTCAGCAGTTGCCACTTATAGGCGTATGATGATCTACTTAAGTACATACATTAATATAACCGACCAAGTGCGACTCGGACATCCGCACTGCACTGATGTTCCGTATCATAAATCGTTATTCCGTATATGTTGCGTGGGACGCCCTCTTACATACCAATACTATTATATAAATCGATAAAAATTGTCAATTATTAATTATAAAACTGTTTTTTTTTTTATCAAAATTACTTCTTGCGTATTTACTTACGTCTATGGGACACCTTTATAGCCCTTTATTTACTTTGTTCTAATATTCGTTATTATTGTGGAAACAGAAATACATAACCAGTTTGTGAAACTTTCTGTCTGTCTTTCACAGTCCTTGAGATGTACATGCCTAGTGACAGCCAGGCAGACGGACGACGTAGTCTTTGAAATAACGTCCAGATTTTACCCTTAAATAAACTGCATTTAAATAGTGCTACTAACATAGGCTTAAGTTTATACCTATTTAATAATATTCTGTATTAAAAAAAAACGAGTGATTGATGGCGGAGACGAAAGTAAAAGTTGTTAATGTTCAGTTTAAATAGTTTGATAATATCACGTACACACGATACAATGAATTATACATGTTAAGAAAATGTTAAAATGTTATTGAATGCACAACCGGTCGCGGTGCTTCCGAAAAATGCATTATAATTAATTATTAAAATTAATATTCAATCGCGCGCCACAGGATGCGTAATCAAAAAATGTGTTTGGTGTTAAAACTAACACAGAATATCGACTTCAAAAACTAAAATTAAACGAAATGTAAAAACTAAACCATACGTACTTATAGATCACACTACAAACCAACTGATACGTATGAAGTCGGTGCCAGAACAGAAGTTATAAACAAAATTATTCGTTAATACCATAATCTTAACTCGTCGAGTACCGGTTTTATAGACACAATTAAAGAACAATAGGTCGCGGTCACCGGTGACCGCTCGGTGTTTGACAGATTAATAGATAGATACCCAACATTACAGCTTATACCTGTGAAGTGTGAGGCTGTGAACTAAGCTATATTTATTTGTTTTGGGTTTGGGATCCCACCATCAGTCCCACCCACCTGGTGGCAAAACAACAACATACAGACGAATTGATAACATCCGATTACGCAAAAAGCGAGGATTTGTTGACTGTCATTAAACATATGTATGTATAGGTAAATATAGATAAAATTATTTTAATAAATGTCAGGAATAAATTTAGATGGAGATGTAAGGTTTGTAATATTAGTGATTGTGAAAATAATATTGTTAAGGCTTAGTAATATTATCGTAATGGTATAATGCACGCGACGTAAAGCCCGTGGTACAGATGGCATTCTATACAGGCATTGTATTGTAACCTACCTAGAATAGTTAATTAACAAGCTTTGATTAAGTATATGTAAATAAAAGGGAAATAAATATATTTGTTTTGCTTATTTGTTTACTGATTACTGATTAAAAACGGTCCTACTCCTGCACTTCGAGCCGGAGCACCGGTATCCCTTTAAAAGTTTGGGCTCTCTGCCATTGCAGCGGTAAGTCCCCTCTATGAGGAGTGGCTTGAGAGACGCTACGGGGTCCTCACCTACCGCCTGACGTAGGTCCTCACCGGACATGGAGGAAACGCCCGGGTGTCATCACTGCGAGGACCGCCCTGAGGACACGGTGGAACACACAGTAGAATGCCCTGCGTGGGCTGAGCACTACCGTGCCCTCAGGGTAGTGCTCAGCCCACGGCGATTTCGACCTCTCGCGTCCGGACCTAGTGCAGGTCAGGAGATTCCCCGCGATTTTGATTAGCAGAGATATGTTGACATTACTATTACAAGTTGTCATCGTAAATAAAAACTCCGACCGCGACGCGACGGCTCGTGTCCGCACCATTCATACATCGTAGTGATTAATGTGTTTTTATTATCGCTAGAGGAGGCACGGGAACTGCGTGCTGCAGGGTGAGGGGAGATCGCTGGCCGCGGCGGGAGAGGGGACTAATGGGAGGAGTGGGCGGTGGGGGGAGTGGGTATTTCAGCGAGACTACGACCGAAGTTAGCTATCGAACATACAGATATTGCTGCGAACACACTGTACATATACAGCGCGCGGCCCGCTGCCGCCGCCGCAGCCTTCACTGGATCAAATTCATTTGTGATCATCCTTATCATCATCATATGAGCCACAAGACGTCCACTGTTGCATATCAAGTCCCAATGCCGTCTAGATCAGCCGGTTGGAAGCAACCTGCATCTAGCGGTTTCATACGATCCGATTAGGTATAATTATGTTAGTGAACTCAGCTGATCATTGTCCAGCA